TTACATTTACATTCCCTCCCAACTGGCTACCATCCAAATTCACCAGCGACACGTACGTGTGCCAATTACCAAAAACAAAACAAAATCGAATAACATCAGAATTCGCACCTGTTTTCCTATCAACGGCTGAAGATCCACGCGTTTATTTTTTCGTAAACCCCGACATCGCCACTTCGATCGTGTGTGTTTCTTTGTGTGTCTGGTATTTGCCGGTTGGTATGGTGCTTGGTTTTGGTTTGGTTTTTTTTTTTGTGTTTTTAATTTCAGGCATTATTAACGAAAGCAAATAATTAGCATTTATTTTTGGTGCGAATTTGTTTATGCTATGCTTGCGCACTTCTTTCTGTCCGATTCTATAAACAAACATTCAATTTCAATTCAAACAATAAAAATCAAAATATTTACACTCAAAATAATTGCAAAAGACGTACACATCCATGCCGTTGCGCACCGCATCGCACACAAAGGCAATTACAGTAGACAAAAAAATAACAAACTGGGTAATTATTCATAATAAGTGTACGCGTAAACCGGTGGACACTGAGAGAAATTGAAAGGGGGTTTTCAATAGAAACAGATTTTCAATAAAAATATAGAAAAATATTTACCGATACTGTCTCAAGATAATTCACACGTTATTATGTAAAACCATATGTTAACCAGTAAGGAAAGTAGTAAAGTCGGACGGGGCCGACTATATGATATCCTTGGTGAGTCAATTACTTAAAATCAATCTATAATATAAGAAAGCTATATCTAAATCTGGACCAATTTTCACGAAACTTTTCAGACATTATTATAGGCCCAATTCAGTACGTTGTGCCAAATTTCGTGCAAATCGAAAGATATATAGGGACTTTGGTGCACCATTTACATGAAATCGGACGAAACTATATATGGGAGCTATATCTAAATCTGGACCGATTTTCACGAAATTTGGCGGATATTATTCTATTCTCAATTCAGTACGTTAAGCGAAATTTGGACTTTGGTACACCATTTACATGATTTCGGACGAAACTATATATGGGAGCTATATCTAAATCTGGACCGATTTTCACGAAATTTGGCGGACATTATTCTATTCTCAATTCAGTATGTTAAGCGAAATTTGGACTTTGGTGCACCATTTACATGAAATCGGACGAAACTATATATGGGAGCTATATCTAAATCTGGACAGATTTTCACGAAACATGGCAGACATCATTCTGGGCTCAATTCAGTGCATTATGCCAAATTTCGTGCAAATCGAGAGATATATGTGGACTTTGGTGCACCACTTACATGAAATCGGGCGAAACTATATATGGGAATAATAAATGCGAATAATAAATGCGACCTGCACTTTGTTTACAATTTAACATGGACAGACGGACGGACGGATGGACAGACGGACGGACGGATGGACAGACGGACATGCCTAAATCGACTTAGAAAGTGATTCTATGAATATTCTCAAAAGGAACCGTGGGTCTATCTCGATTCCTTTTGCCTGTTACAAACATATGCACAAAGACATAATACCCTGTACCACAGTGTGGTGAAGGGTATAAAAATATCAAACTTTCCAATGGAAATGACAGATCCTGCCATACAACACTAACCCTAAGTATGCTTTACACATGTTCTTAAAAAATCTACGACTAAAGACTTGTGTACGCCGCAAAAATATTCCATGTCCTTAAACTGGAGAACGTTCCAAAAATATTTTTAATTCATAATAACAATGTTAAGTCCTCCCGGATCGTGTATCTTCTCCCGTGGAATATCTTTAAAATTATTTTCATCGATCTTCGCAATTTGTCAGCTAGAAAGATTTTCGTCTTCGTAGAGAGTCCTGAGTACACATCAAAACTATTCATAGGAATTCCACATGATTCAGTCCGTGAATTATACTCCCTCATGGTATAATAATATTTTATACCCTCCTCTATAAGGTGGATGTTTGGTGTTGCAAATGGGTTATATCGGTAAAGGGTTTGGTGTAGTGCTCTTATAACAGTACCCACCAATATTCGCTAAATTGACACTATTTTCGTATTTTGGGTTTAGCACATCACTTCCATTAAAACCAGTAAGAAAAATTCAAAAGTCGGGCGAGGCCCGACTATATTTTAATATCTACAATATCCTGTAGATGGGTTAGGTTAGGTATGTACGGTTGTTACAACCGTCCACTCGGAGACCATGTCCATTGTGATCATCCTTTTATATTACCTGTAAAGAAAAGAAAAAGAGATAGTAGAGGAGCAAGGAGAAATGATAGCGAAAGAAAGGTTATTTTAGCCATGTCAAATTTTTGACGAAGCCTAGGATCTGGTTTGGGTTTATTTTTGGAGAAGAAGACTAGATTATCTATTTCATATCTTCCGAAATGTTTGTGTCTTCTGCTAATCAGCGATGGACATTTACAGAGGATGTGTTCAATTGTTTTCAGTTCTTCTTCGTCCTCACATAGACGACAGTAATCCTCTCTACTGGAGTCCCACTTCGAAGTGAGAGATCTAATCTTACAGTGTTACTGTTATGATCCCCACAACGGTTTTGATCTCCCTCTTATTGAGTGTCAGCAGCGAAGACGTTCTTTTACGAGAGAATTCAGGCCAGATAGATCTTGAGATTCTGCAAGCAGGTTCTCTTAGCCATCTGTTGCCGACTACCTCACAGTAGAACGCACGGATTCTGCCAGTGAAATAGCCGATGGGAGGTCTCACAGATCTCTCAATCGGAACATTGGACGACTGTGAGCCCCCTCGAGTAAGCTCGTCGGCTATTTCATTCCCTTCAATGTCACTATGTCCTGAAACCCAACATAAACCAACTATCTGTCGTATTTCCTAAAAATCGGACTTGCAATCATGAACTGTTTTTGAGTTTATAGTTCGCGACTTCGCCGCTTTAAGGGCCGCCTGACTATCCACATATATAGTCAACGGTCCCGTAATGTCGGCATTAAGTGATTTTAATATCTCGGCCGCTTTCGTGATTGCAAGAATCTCTGCTTGGAAAACGCTACAAAGGTTGTTGAGTTTATATGAGTTATATGCTCCTAATTCCCTACAGTAAACGCCTGAGCCAGTGCCCTCCTCCATCTGGCAGAGGTGAGGAACCACTAATCCAGGATTCCCTACTAGGAAACTCAACTTTGATGTCATTAAAGTCCCTATGAGAGGGAACACAGTTTCTAATATGACTATTCCCCCTAAAGAGGTCACAACCTATTCAGCTATTTCAAGGCATCCGTTTCCCGGAGCCTTGGGGCACACCTGGCCGCCTGGAATTTAATCAGAATGACCAAAGGTTGGAGATTCAAAATTGCGTTCAAGGCTGCCTGTGGTGCACTTCTTAACGCTCCGGTGATCAGGATTGAAGCCGATCGCTGTACTAAACTCAATTTTGTCAGCCGCATCTTTTTGTTAACCCCCTGCCACCAAACAAGGCAACCATAAGTAAAAATGGGTAAGACGATCGTCGTATACAGCCAGTGTATAATTTCGGGTCTTAATCCCCAGCTCTTACCAATGGAATTCTTACATGAGTATAGAGCCAGCAGTCCTTTCTTAGAGCGAAAGGGTTAATGTCACTCCTCCCAGTGATGGCAAACGGAAACTAGGAATCTTACGTTTCCTAGTGAAGAGCAATGACAAATTGCATGTCAAACGGGCAGACTTGGATTCTTTGGTGTACCATTTGTATGAAATCGAGTAAAATTATGGATTGCTCAATCGGACAAATATTGGGAGTGGTGCATCATTAAAACAAATCGGACGAAACCATATATTGTACAAATATTGGGAGTTTGGTGCATCGAAACTATATATGGGAGCTATATCTATATCTGAACCGATTTTAATAAAACTTCGTAGACATCAGTCTGGACCTCATTCAGTACTCTGTGCAAAATTTTTGTCCCAATCGGACAAATATTGGGAGTTTGGTGTATCAATCACAAAAAATCGGACGAAACTATATATGGGAGCTATAAAGATTCCAATAGGGTTCGTCCTTGGGCCAAATAAGTGAACTGTGCCAAATTGCATCCAAATCGACTCAGAAAGTGATTCGATGCATATTCTCTAAAGGAACCATGGGTCTATCTCCATTCCTTTTGGCTGTTACAAACATATTCACAAATACATAATACCCTGTACCACAGTGGGGTGAAGGGTATAAAAATCCACGACCATATACCGAAGATTATTTCTTTAAAACCTTAGATCCATAGCCCGAAGAGTCCTTCTTTAAAAATACAGGCCTATAGCTTTGATATTCCTTCAAAAATAACACTTTAAAATTCCACGTCTATAGACCGGATAGTCGTCCAAAAAATACAGATTACAAACAAATCCAATCGTATTGCTCTAATAGTCCTTGTAAAATTTTTCATTCAAAAAATCCTCTCTTATTTTTTAAATCCAATGTTTTTCTCAATGTACTTCATTTCAGTTGCAACAATTTGTTGTAGTTGTTGTTTCCTATTTTCAAAAAACAAGAAAATACAAAGCACACCAAATACGCAACGATTGAGAAAAAAAATATTAGTATTTGAAATAATTCCAATTGGATTTTTGTTTACTTAGAGCAGCAGATTTTCGATACATACCAACCAACAAGAAATGTTAATGATTGTTTTCAACACTGTCCATTGCACAGGAAAATAGAGATTTATGAGTTTTTTTGCGGAATTCCTTTTGCATAGCTAATCAATAGAAAACATATGGCATTCAATGAAGAAATTTTCGTGTTGAAATTGTTTTGCAAAAAAATTCACAATTATTTGCATTGCATTGACGATAGAAATGTTATTGACCTCGAGATTGGGAGTGATGGAGAAAAAATAGAAAGTTCAAGGATATTATTGAATTAAAAGATTTCACGAATTTTGTTGAAGCTTATGGAAGTTTGAGATTGAACCAGAGATTGAGGTTGATGGAGACAAATGACATTTGTGAATATTGGATATTTAATAAATTGTATCAATTGCAATCTACACTTACCTTAAAGAAAAATGTTTTCAGCATATCCAAAAGTGCTTCTGAATCTTCTTCAGTCACATATTCCACGGTGTATGGGCAATCATCTGTCTTGGCCTTGGTCACAGCTGGGGTGGCGGATACATTCAATACACTGTCCATTTTCTGTGATAGTCTTGCAATTGGATATAAATCCGAAAGCTGCAAATGAAAGAGGAAGGGAAATGTTATTGATATTGGCAAATAAAATAAAATGTTTGTATTTGAATATAAAAGAAAAAAATTATTTTAACATAATTTTGATTTACATATATTTTTTACAGTAGTCATTAGCTCCTAAGCCTTCCTTAAAGATAGCCTCTGTAAAATATCCTTGAAAAATCTACGCCTTTAGCTCGGATAGTCCCAAAAAATATTCCTTTAAAATTGCTGCGCAATCCTTCATCGAAAATATTTTATTAGTCCTTTAAAAAATATTCTTTAAAAATCAACGCCTGTAGGTCAAATAGTCCTTTAAAAATATTCTTTAAAAATCCACGTCTGTAGGTCGAATAGTCCTTTAAAAAAATATTCTTTAAAAATCCACGCCTGTAGGTCGAATAGTCCTTTAAAAAAATATTCTTTAAAAATCCACGCCTGTAGGTCGAATAGTCCTTTAAAAAAATATTCTTTAAAAATCCACGCCTGTAGGTCGAATAGTCCTTTAAAAAACTATTCGACTTAGTCCTTTAAAAAATATATTTTAAAAATCCACGCCTGTAGGTCGAATAGTCCTTTAAAAAATATATTTTAAAAATCCACGCCTATAGGTCGAATAGTCCTTTAAAAAACTATTCGACCTAGTCCTTTAAAAAATATATTTTAAAAATCCACGCCTATAGGTCGAATAGTCCTTTAAAAAATATTCTTTAAAAATCCACGCCTATAGGTCGAATAGTCCTTTAAAAAATATGTTTTAAAAATCCACGCCTATAGGTCGAATAGTCCTTTAAAAACTATTCTTTAAAAATCCATGCCTATAAAAAAAAATATTTTAAAAATCCACGCCTATAGGTATTCTTTAAAAATCCACGCCTATAGGTCGAATAGTCCTTTAAAAAATATTCTTTAAAAATCCACGCCTATAGGTCGAATAGTCCTTTAAAAAATATTCTTTAAAAATCCACGCCTATAGGTCGAATAGTCCTTTAAAAATATTCTTTAAAAATTACTCATCAGAATTCGAAAGAAAAATCCCGTCCATTTTATCGCATTTGAAATAAAAATCTTAAAATAAAATCGTTTTTCTGTTTTCTCAAAAAAATGTGTCATTCCGCCGATGCTTAATATTTGTCACATTCACATGATCCAAAAAATCCCGCAGACACATGTTCACATGTTCGCCGGCGTCTAATGTGGAAGTGTCCATAAATGACATTCTAAAGTGTATTATTAATGATGCAAAGATCGTGAATTGTTGTCATACTCACAATTCACCCTAGAGAAAATACAAAAAAAAACATTAAATTTTTTAAGAAAGTGTAGCCAATCGTCTTGGCTGCCGACAGACAGATAGACCGGTCGGTCGAATGTTCATTGGCCATTGGTGCATATTAGCAGTAAAATGTGACAAAGCAAAAAAATCATAGTGCAGTTAAATGAATTTCCACGAGAAGACTACAAATTGTTTATTTCTTGTAAACCTGCTGTTTGCTTGTGAGACGTATGAACATGACACATCGGCGAATACGCAAAATAATTTTCCTTCCTGTATGCTACAGTAAATTATTGTTTTTAGAAAAGCCTATTGAAAACTTTTATAGAAATTATAGCTGAAAATTTAGCAATACAAAAAATGCAGATAATTTTGAAAAAATTTTAAAGTATTTAAAATTTGAGAGAAGTCAACGTACATAAATAATTTTGAAATGGATGCATAGTCCTTATATCCAGGGTCTACTGTTTATAATTATAGAATATTCACATTGCACAAATGGCAATGTTATGCTCCATAAATTAATACATTGTATTTCGCAGAAATAAATCGTAAGTCATCTAATGTTGCATGCACATTGATGCGTATTATATGCAGCGACTGTGCACAAACGTGTTTACGCATATACAATAAATATTTATTACCATATGAGTAAACATCCAAAAATTTAAAGGATGGAAAACGTACATATATGGAAGTTATTAACAAAAATATTTATGGTTTGTGTACATGGAAAAATCGATTTTTTTTCAATTTTCATTTTATGCTTATATAAATAAAATAAAACACTTTTTGTCCGGGTCGTAATTATACAGAATTTTTTTAGAAATATCAAATTAAAATAATGAAAAATTTTTACAAACAGGTCTCTTGTGAAGACCGTTGTTGACTTTTATTTGAATTTATAGGCGTTACCATTATAGGGGGAATAAATGTCAAACAGTGAACAAAATATTAAACTTTATATTATTAATATAGGTCAATTAATGATGATTTTTATGGAAGAACTGTCATTGTAAAATAAATGCATATTGAAAATCCACATTTATCATTCGGATAGTCCTCCAAAAATTATGTATTATATATATATATATATATATATATATTGGGACAAAATTTTGCATAGAGTACTGAATTAGGTCCATACTGAAGTGTGCAAAGTTTTGTTAAAATCGGTTCAGATTTAAATATAGCTCCCATATATAGTTTCGTCCGATTTTATGTGAATGATGCACCAAACTCCCAATATTTGTTTGATTGGGACAAACTTCGGCACAGAGTACTGAATTAAGTCCAGACTGGTGTCTGCGAAGTTGTATTAAAATCGGTTCAAATTTAGATATAACTCCCATATATAGTTTCGTTCGATTTCTTCTGAATGATACACCAAACTCCTAATATTTGTCCGATTGGGATAACATTTTGTACAGACTATCGAAATAAGTACAAACTGATGTGTGCAATGTTTTGTTAAAATCGGTTCAAATATAGATATAGCTCGTCCGTTTTTTTAAGAATGATGCACCAAACTCCCAATATTTGTCCGATTGGGACAAATTCTGCACAGAGTACTTAATTAAGTCCAGACTGGTGTCTGCGAAGTTTTGTTAAAATCTGTTCAGATTTAGATATAGCTCCCATATATAGTTTCGTCCGATTTTTTGTGAATGATACACCAAACTTCCAATATTTTTCCGGTTAAGCAAAATTTTTTATTGGATTTACAAATATTGAACATTTTGGCGATTTGTGGGGCAGGTACCAGAAGGAGTGGACCAATGGTTCCCATCTTCGGACTTGATCCTGGGTTGGTAAAGGTAATAGGTTGTGCAAGGTTTGGTCCAAATCGGGCATTCCATTCGACTGATATTGGATTTACTAATATTGAAAATTTTGACCAGAAGGAGTGGACTAATGGGTCCCATCTTCGGACTTAATCTAGCCTTCGTAAGGATAATGCGTTGTGCAAAGTTTGGTTCACATCGAACCTTTAATTCGCCTGATATTGGATTTACAAATATTGAAAATGTTTACCATTTGTGGGGGAGGTACTAGAAGGAGTGGACCAATGGGTCCCATCTTCCTACTTGATTCGGACTTTGTAAAGATAATAGGTTGTAGAAGGTTTCATTAACGTCGGATATTTGACCATTTTGTGGGGTAGGTACCGGAAAGAGTGGACGAATGGTTTCCATCTTCAAACTTAGTCTAGACTTGGTAAAGGTAATGTGTTATGCAAAGTTTGGTTATTGATATTGGTATAGTAAATATTGAAAATGTTGACCCTCTGTGGGGGAGGCAACAGAAAGAGTGGACCAGTGGGTCCCATATTTAAACTTGATCTAGGCGTGATAAAGATATTAGGCTGCACAAATTTAAAATCGGATATTAAGATGTGCAAAGTTTGAATGAAATCGGTTGCTGCCTTCGAGAGCTATCGTGCGCACCAGCCAGTCAGAAGGACAACGCACGGGCGGACGGACGTGGCTAAATTGACTCCAAACGTATTTGGTCCGAAGAAACATGGGGTCTAAAACCAATATTTCTCATTAGCCTAAAGGCTGAGGGTATAACAGAGATGCTCATATGTACAATATTCTGTAGATAGAACAGGAGGGCCATTGAAATGGCATAGATCTACATAGACAAAAAAAAAAAACCCCCGCATTCTGAAATCTAAAAAAATTGCATGTCAATCGGCTTACTTTGCTCCAATTTATATAGGATTCGTCATTAGGCCATATAAGTGACTTGTATCAAATTTCATCCACATCGGATCATAGATGCTTTGTTCCCCGATATGTTTACAAAAATATGGTAAAAACAGTTTTTAAAATATGTGGTGATTAATTTTTGGACTTTTCCCCGCTAGATTTGAATTTTGGCCATTGTGCGACAATTCCCGAATTAGTTCTGAACTTTTCTTATCTTTCATAAAGACAATCGCTTATAGCGATCAATTCCTTTAACGACCCTAAAACTGATTTCGACTGTAATTATAATCAAGTCAATCATTTCATTTCCTAATTTACTTTATACTGAAGGACATAATTATTGAAGTAATATTTATAATTTTTAAAACTTGTACATTATTATTGCATTATTGTTATCTATGCATTATTTCCTATTTTTCTTAAATTCCATTAGTAACACTTTTCCAACCCTGAAATTTTGTTGTCTTATACAAATCGATTGCTGAACGACATATGTTTCCTATCGAAATCGTCATGGTCACAATGTGGACAGTGATCGACGAAAGTTTTTCTTTTCTCAGTTCCACTTGAAAATAAATGGAATAACAAATAGGCCAAAATATTTAGGCCATTTTTACACGCAACACCTATTTATTTTAATATACATTTTTCACAATTGTTTTTAAATTTATTTGCTAATTTTTTTACTCACCGTATATCGTGGTTCAATAATAATCGCATCATTTTTAGCAAATGTGCGACTATTTTGTAGCATTTGTGAGATATTTTCGATTTCCATGGTGGCGGTTATTTGTATTTTTTTTTTTTGCTTTTGGTTGGAATGAATTCACAGATAAATCTTTTTTAAGATGTTCAAATTAATTATGAACGGAATGCGTCAAATTATTGGCAATAAATGGGTGTGTTTTATTGTTGCCGACAATAGTATTATTTTGTTATTTTTATAATTCTTTGATGTTTTCCTTAATTTATTTATGTATGTTTTTCTTTTTTTTTTTTTTGCTGTGGAAACTTCTGCTTCGATGGTAAATAACAGCAATTAATTGCGAGGAGAAAAAAAACGAAAACAAAAATTAAGGTATTCAGAACAGATGGTTGTTGTTTATCTACAGCGTAACATTTTCTTTTGCTTTGCTTTCTATTATTTTTTTTTATTGTTTTTTTTTTTTTTTTGCTTTTCTCGTTTGCAAAATGTTTAGCTGTTGTTGTACACAATTTTCAATTTATTTTCCCAAGTCAAAATAGCAGCATTCACTCAACGCGACTAAATGAGGAAAACACACACACAGACAATTTTCACTCTTCACGGATCTGCTAACTTTTCTCACTGGCCGAGAAGAAAAGTCAAAAAACGACAATTTGAAAAATGGAAAAAAAATACGAAGAAAGTATCAATCGATCACGACGACAATTTGTTTATTTCACAGCTGTGTGAAATGATGTGAATGCTCGTTTGGTTCACTTGTTTTATTTTTTTGGTAGATGATGGTTGAATGATCACACTTGATTGGCTGTCCGGTTTGAGGGGTTTTGAATTAATATAATACGAAATTTTATATTTTTTATTTCTTAGCTTTTTTTAATAAAAAACAAAAAATATTTTCAATATTTATTTTGTATTATCCTTTCTAAGGACATAAATGTTCAATTTCTTTTCATCAACGATTGCATAAAAATCCGCTTTATTTATATTTTTTGAATTTCCGTTACACAGTTATATACAGAATATTGCAAGCAATCAGACTTCGTGTCTATTGTTGTCGTGTTACATTGGCTAACTGAATGATTGTCAACGGGCCGCTGGCCTGGCACTACGTTTTTATATACATTCAGCGAAATTCTGGCCGGTTTGTTTGTTGACTTTTATTATTTGTTTGGTTTTCGTTTTTTTCTTATTTTGTATTTTCTTTTCTTATTCGGGTTTCTTAAATCCCGACGTTCTCAATTGCAGCAAAAACAATGTTTTGTTATTGTTTCGTATTAAATGTTATTGTTGTTTATTCGTTTGTTGTTTACTGTGCTGATTCTGTTCTGTTACTGGCGGTTCCGTACGTTTTACCGACGAAGCAGACGATCGAATGTATTTCATTGTTTTGTATGCCTGGTTGTTTCTTCTTTGGCTTCCGGCGGGTTTTTGTTGTGCGAACGCCAAAACAGCAGCAGATTTTGCAAATGAAAGATTTTCTCGTTTATTTGGATAAACACACAGACGCTCAATGGCCGTCGTTGACGACGCTGTTAACGTTGCAGTAAGCGTCAACGTCCACAAACCGTGTTGTGTAGTGTAGTAACGCTCTACAACTTTTATTGACACATACACTGAGAAAAAATGGTCTCTATAAAGACCTGACGGTCTCTATAGAACTCAATTGGTGTCTATAAAGACCAAACGGTTTCTATAGGGCTCTTAATAACGACCTGGCGGTCTCTATAATATAACCCAATTGGTCTCTATAAAGGACCTGACGGTCTCTACACAGCCCAATTGGTCTCTATAACGAGACCTGACTGTCTCTACACATCCGAATTTATGACGTCGATTTCCCAATTGGACTGTACAGAGACCTGGCGGTCTCTATACAGCCCATTAGGTCCTTACAGAATACTGGCGGTCTCTATACAGTCCAATAGGTTTTTACAGAGACCTGGCGGTCTCTATACAGCTCATTAGGTCTTTACAGAGACCTGGCGGTCCTATACAGCCCATTAGGTCTTTACAGAGACCTGGCGGTCTCTATACAGCCCATTAGGTCTTTACAGAGACCTGGCGGTCTCTATACAGCCCATTAGGTCTTTACAGAGACCTGGCGGTCTCTACACAGCCCATTAGGTCTTTACAGAGACCTGGCGGTCTCTACACAGCCAATTAGGTCTTTACAGAGACCTGGCGGTCTCTACACAGCCCATTAGGTCTTTACAGAGACCTGGCGGTCTCTACACAGCCCATTAGGTCTTTACAGAGACCTGGCGGTCTCTACACAGACCATTAGGTCTTTACAGAGACCTGGCGGTGTCTATACAACCCATTAGGTCTTTACAGAGACCTGGCAGTCTCTATACAGCCCAATTGGTCTTTACAGAGACCTGGCGGTATCTATACAGCCCAAATGGTCTCTATAAAGACCTAACAGTCTCTATACAGCCCAATTGGTCTCTATGAAGACCTAAGGGTCTCTATACAGCCCAAATGGTATCTATAAAGACCTGGCGGTCTCTATACAGCCCAATTGGTCTCTATAAAGACCTGGCGGTCTCTAAAAAGCCAATTGGTCTCTATAAAGACCTGGCGGTCTCTAAAACGCCAATTGGTCTCTATAAAGACCTAACGGTCTCTATACAGCCCAAATGGTCTCCATAAAGACTTAAAGGTCTCTATACTGCCCAAATGGTCTCTATACAGACCTAACGGTCTCTATACAGCCCAAATGGTCTCTATAAAGACCTAAAGGTCTCTATAAAGCTCAAATGGTTTTTTTATAGCCCATCATCAATGCGTGGATTTTTTAAAGAATATTTTTTCAAAGCATATCATCAAGGCGTGAATTTTTTAAAGAATATTTTTTCAAAGCCAACCATCGAGGCGTGGATTTTTTAAAGAATATTTTTTCAAAGCCTATCATCAATGCGTGGATTTTTTAAAGAATATTTTTTCAAAGCATATCATCAAGGCGTGGATTTTTTAAAGAATATTTTTTCAAAGCCAACCATCGAGGCGTGGATTTTTTAAAGAATATTTTTTCAAAGCCTATCATCAAGGCGTGGATTTTTTAAAGAATATTTTTTCAAAGCCTCATCAAGGCGTGGATTTTTTAAAGAATATTTTTTTAAAGCCTATCATCAAGGCGTGGATTTCTTTAAAGAATATTTTTCAAAGCCTATCATCACGGCGTGGATTTTTTTAAAGAATATTTTTTCAAAGCCTATCATCACTGCGTGGATTTTTTAAAGAATAATTTTTCAAAGCCTATCATCAAGGCGTGGATTTTTTAAAGAATATTTTTTCAAAGCCTATCATCACGGCGTGGATTTTTTAAGAATATTTTTTCAAAGCCTATCATCAAGGCGTGGATTTTTTTAAGAATATTTGTTCAAAGCCTATCATCAAGGCGTGGATTTTTTAAAGAATATTTTTTCAAAGGCGTGGATTTTTTAAAGAATATTTTTTCAAAGCCTATCATCACGGCGTGGATTTTTTAAGAATATTTTTTCAAAGCCTATCATCAAGGCGTGGATTTTTTAAGAATATTTTTTCAAAGCCTATCATCGAGGCGTGGTTTTTTTAAGAATATTTTTTCAAAGCCTATCATCAAGGCGTGGATTTTTTTAAGAATATTTTTTCAAAGCCTATCATCAAGGCGTGGATTTTTTTAAGAAATGTTTTTCTAGGATCAAAACTGGCGGAAAAAAAATCTTTTGAATATTGCCATAAATCATATTTCAATGTACGATACAACCGTAAGGATTTTTTTACTTCTTCAGCATAAAACTTCGCCTCTTCTTTTCCCGTGGCGTGGTTTTTTAAGAATATTTTTTCAACGCCTATCATCAAGGCGTGGATTTCTTTAAAGAATATTTTTTCAAAGCCTATCATCAAGGCATGGATTTTTTTAAAGAATATTTTTTCAAAGCCTATCATCACGGCGTGGATTTTTTAAAGAATATTTTTTCAAAGCCTATCATCAAGGCGTGGTTTTTTTAAGAATATTTTTTCAAAGCCTATCATCAAGGCGTGGATTTTTTTAAGAATATTTTTTCAAAGCCTATCATCAAGGCGTGGATTTTTTTAAGAATATTTTTTCAAAGCCTATCATCAAGGCGTGGATTTTTTTAAGAATATTTTTTCAAAGCCTATCATCAAGGCGTGGATTTTTTTAAGAATATTTTTTCAAAGCATATCATCAAGGCGTGGATTTTTTTAAGAATATTTTTTTTAAGAAATGTTTTTCTAGGATCAAAACTGGCGGAAAAAAATTCTTTTGAATATTGCCATAAATCATATTTCAATGTACGATACAACCGTAAGGATTTTTTTACTTCTTCAGCATAAAACTTCGCCTCTTCTTTTCCCGTGTGACATAAATAAACAAGGAAGTTTGGGAAAGCATTTAAAACAATTACATCGAATTAATCCCCACTTGAAATAATGCCAGTAAAACAAAGAACTCACAATAGGGAAGTGCAATTGAATTTCATCGAATGTGATCCCGCCATGGCCTTTGGGCACAGAGACACACATTTGTTTTGTTATTAAAATAATTATTCAGAATGCCGGGAATGAATAATGGATTTTGTGTGTCATAAAAAACAGGCAGAAAAAAATTCACAAAAAAAGGAATGAGTGAATATGATGTTTGATTACACAATTTTAAAATTCAGTCAAAGGTCTTTGAAACTTTGGATACGAATTTGAGTCATCGATAAATAAATATAATGGTATAAATATTACAGTTCAAATTTATATGATTTTCAAAAGTTACAAGAGGAAGGGTACATTTGTAAATGCTTCAAGAAATATAATACTAAACCCGATATTTATATAGCTACGGGTATAAAAATCATATTGACATTTTAAAATCGTAATCCGGCTCCGATATGATAACTTATACTATTTCCAAAGAAATTCCCGCATTGTAACAATCATCATCAATATTTTTGTAAACGCTGGCTTCCTATACAAAGTTACTAGTCACGATTGGCATTTTTTCTCACCCAATTGTTGATCGATATGTATTGGAACCGGTAAAAGGCCAAACTAAAAAAAAAACATATTGCAAAGAAAACAACCGACCGGTAACTGTAAGAGTATGCGACTCAAATCGACAAAAA